ACCCCGTAGCAGGGGCTGCCGGCCTTCTCCCTCTCCTCCTTCGACATGCTCTACCCCGAGGACGGCGGCTGGGCTGCCAAGGGCCCCGGGGCCAGTGCCCGGGAGGAGCCGCCCGAGGAGCCCGACCAGTGCCCGGTCATCGACAGCCAAGCCCCGGGGGGCAGCCTGGACGTGGGGCCGGGCGGGCTGAGCCTGGAGGAGCACTCCCTGGAGCAGGTGCAGTCCATGGTGGTGGGCGAGGTGCTCAAGGACATCGAGACGGCCTGCAAGCTGCTCAACATCGCTGCAGGTGAGCCCCTCTCCCGCAGGGGGCGCTGTGGGCAGCCCTGGCACCTCCGCCCAGCCGGGCCTGGGGAGCTGGGGAGCTGGGGGATTGCTCCACTTCCCGTGTTCGAGCAGCCTGCGATGCACAGCCACTGGGAACTGGCTCTGCAGGCTCCAGCCAGAGCGGGTCCCAACTGAGGGGCTCCCTCCCGCGTCCCTGCCTGGCAGGCGCAGGCGGAGGGAATGCAGGTTCTGTCTGGCCTCGCCTCCTCTCAGACTGGGCTCTGCGTCCCCTCATCCTCTCTGCTCCAGCCACACTGGCCTCTTTGCTGTTGCCATGACACTTGCCCCAGGGCCTTTGCACCTGCTGGTTCCTCACCTGGAACACTGTCCCCAAGAGAGCTACTAGCTCATCCCCCTGTTATCTTCAGGTCCTGACTCTGAGGGCACCACCCTGCTCCCCTCCCCACGCCACCCCTGCCTCCTATCCCGGCCACCTGCTTTACATCTCCGAAGCATTTCCGACCACCTGACACGCTGCAGGTTTTATTCATTTCCCTCACTTTCCACCTGTCTCCCACTCCAACGTACACTCTCCAGGACAGAGTCTGGTGCACCCCCGCACCCCCATTCCCAGGCCAGCACCTAGGGCTGGAGAGGCGCAATAACAGCTGTCAGGTGAATTCAACAGCAGCGCTCTCCCTGCCCAGCCAGTGCCGGGGCTGGGGCGCAGAGAGGTGGGCTCAGAGAGGTGGGCACTGCAAGTCCTTACAGGGAGGGAAACGGATCATCGGGGCATAGACAAAGGGGTCGCTGGTCTGGCGAGGGGGAACAAGGGGGACAAGGGGCTGAGTGTGTGCACACACGTGCCTGTACGTGTGTCTGCCGAGCGGAGCTGGAACGCAGCTGGCGCTGTGGGCCGACCCGCTGGGTGTGCGGCCCCTGCCCCTTCTCACCTCTCAGCCTCAGGCCGTCCTGAGCCATCTCCCTAGATCTTCAGGCCCTGGGCAGCTTCCACAGGGGAGCGAGGGATTTTCGGTGTTCCCCAGGCTGGAAGCTGTCCCCATTACCTGGGTGGGTGTGTCCCTTCAGGCAGGGCCGGCTGACCTCCCGGGCCCCCCTTTCCCGGCGCCCACGCCAGCCCGGCTCAGGTTTTCCCACGCTGCCTCTTCCCCACTCCAGACTGGGGAGGGGCGTGCACTCAACAATGGGGACAGGAACAAATTGCTTTGACCTTGGGAGGAGAACGGGTTACAGCTGGGGGCAGGTCACCCAGCTGGGCAGACCATGGCAGTGGGAGGCCCCATTGTGACCGCGCCCACTAGCCTGGCCCCAGCTGTGCGCCACGCCAGACCCACCCCAGAACAGCTCCCAAGGGACATCTTGGAGCTAGCCAGTGACCCCTCTCTTGGCATTTAAAGTCCGTCGCTGCCCCGACTGCCCTGTGCCCTGCCATTCCACACTTCGCACTGGACTCACACCGCCAGGGGCTCGCACACTCGGTGCCCCAGTTTCCTCATCTGTAAAATATCGGGGGGGGGGAGTGACTCCTTGTTACACTTTTCTCTGGTATCGGAAGGGTCTGGAGAAAGCAAGCGGTGTCTGGGAGAAGCCCCGCAGGGCTTGGCATAATGCCCGTGTCCCCCCTGGGGCTGGGGCTCCCCGAGGGCTCCTTTGGAGGAGCTGGAAACAAGGCCTGGTGAGGTGAGGTTGCAGAGGGCCCAGGCTTCTGTGCCCTGAGCCAAGCTTGTTTCGGGGCCCCGGCTCCTCCGTCTCACTCTCCTCTTATTTTGGGTACCCACCTCCCCAGGGCTCCTCGGGGCAGTGTCTGGGCTGGCTGGTCACTAGGCTTCCGCTCCCATGGGTGCCCACGGCAGGGTGGGAGCGGCAGAGCTGAGGGGACATGTCTTGCGCAGACCCCGTGGACTGGAGCCCTGGCAACGTGCAGAAGTGGCTCCTGTGGACAGAGCACCAGTACCGGCTGCCCCCCGTGGGCAAGGCCTTCCAGGAGCTGGCGGGCAAGGAGCTCTGCACCATGTCGGAGGAGCAGTTCCGCCAGCGCTCGCCCCTGGGTGGGGACGTGCTGCACGCCCACCTGGACATCTGGAAATCAGGTGGGCGCCATGTCCTGCTCGGGCGGGAGTCCTCCTCCTGGGCTCCAAGCCAGGGACCCCGAGGGCAATGGTGAGGCTGCCCTCCTCGGGGACACCGCGGGCCCCATGCTGGCCACCGCTGGGACCTCGGCCCCAACTGCAGAGGCCTCCCTGTGTCCTGGCGCTCTCCAACCCCAGGCAATCCCAGCCTGGTCAAGGACCTTAGCAGTTAAAGGGCTAGACGGGCCCAGCAGGTGCATCATGGCTACGTCACTGGACTCTCACATAGTCGAGCACAGTTTGAGTCCTGGACCCAGTGGCTTGAAAATCATGCCAGGTGAATATGCATGCATGCCCAGGATCCTGAGAGGAGAATGGAAGCAAAGGGATTGAGGTGTGACCATTTCACCTGGAGGGGTGATTTTTTGCTTTCTGTCTCTCTGTCTCTCTCAGGCAAGCATATGGACCCTATAGCAAATCTATTTAAAAAAAAAAAAAAAAAGTCAGACCATGGGTCTGTAGGTGGTGTGGTGGTCAGGTGCTTGATTCTGCATAGCCAATTATGGTTCGAGTCCTGAACCAGCAGCTTGAAAATTACACCAGGCACATGTGCGTGCGTGCCCAAAATCCTGAGAAGAGAGTGGAAGAGAAGGGACTGCAGCGTGCTCACCCCTCCTGGGGGTGATTTCTCATTTCCCCTCTCTCTGTCTCTCTCCTGTGAGAGGCAAAAACACGACTGTGAGAGCACAGACATCAGAGCTGGGTACTGTGAAGTCCCAATTCTTTTCTTGCTCAGATTTTGCTTGTTTTGCTTTGTTTTTCACTTAAGAACAATGGAGTAGCGAGTCTGAGTAATCTTCAAATATCGTAGTGAGAAAGGGAGGCAGGCGTGGAGTATGTGCTGTGAACGGTAATTCTTGCTCCACGCCTGCCTCCCGGCTTCTGACCCCCCCACCCCGGGCACCACATCACCTGTTTCTTGGGTACCTCTCCAGGGCAGGCAAAGTATATGTGTAGTTTTCACTCTTTTCTAAAAACACAGAAAGTACCAGAACATGGCAGCTTCTTTTTTTATTTTTTTATTTTTTTATTTTTTGGAGAGATTTTCACTGTAGGGCGCGTGCGCTCGCCAGACAGACAGAGAGAGACATAGAGACAGAAAGCGAGAAATCACCCACCAGGGGGGATGGTCACGCCACAATCCCTTCTCCTCCATTCTCCTCTCGGGATCTTGGGCACGCACGCACACGCGCCCGGCATGAGTTTTAAGCCACCGGGTCCGGGACGTGAACCGCGGTCGACTACGTGGGAGTCCAGCGACATAGCCATTACGCTAACTGCTGGTTCCCATGGCAGCTTCCTCACTCAGCAGTGGGCCTCGGAGATCCTTCTGCTGCAGCAGTATTCTTTGCTTTGCTTTTTGAGAGACTTTTGCTCTGTGGTACGTGCACGCCCCAGAGACACAGAAAGAGTCGGAGAGGGCAAGTGAGAAATCACTCCGCAGGGGAGATGGGCACCCACAGGCTCTTCTCCTCTCGGGACTTTGGGCACACACGTACACGAACCGGGATGTTTCAAGTCACCGGGTCCAGGACTTGAACCATGGTCGACCATGTGGGAGTCCGGTGCCTTAACCACTATGCCATCTGTTGACTCCAGTGTTCTTTTTTTAAAATTTATTATTTTATTGGGACCAGCAGGTGGCATGGTGTTTAAGACGCTGGAAACTCCCACGTGGCTGACCATTATTATAGAATTATTGTATTTAACTTTATTTACTCATCCGTTTAGCTTAATTTGACCAGAGAAAGACAGAGAGAGACAGAGGGAAAGTGAGAAAGCAAGTTGCCAGGTCCGGGACTTGAACTGTGGTCACCCATGTGGGAGTCCAGTGGCCCTAACCACCACGCCACCTGCCGGCCCCCCAGCATGCAGCATCTGCATGTTGTTGGCACCACTGTGATGCTCGCACACTGAGTTAGGGCCCGGAATGAATATGGGGACAGAGCCCACTCGTATGACTTCACCAGAGACCGGCGTGCGGCCAGTGGGTGGTCAGTGCCAGGCTCAGAGGCAGGTGGCGTTATGGGCAGAAGCTGGCTGCCCTGGACCCTGCCATTGGTGTGAGTGAAAGAGACCGAGAGGGGAGCAGGCTGGAGGGGCGGGGTGGGGGTGCGTGTGGCCTTGGCAGCTGGAGGGCAGGGAGTCCGTGTTTGCCGCGTCAGGCACTGGGCCTGCAGGTGCCCCGTAGGAGGCCGTGCGAGACCTGTGTGTGTGTGTGTGTGTGTGTGTGTGTGTGTGTGTTTGGGGGGTACTGGGCCCATTCTCAGGTGAGGAGAGGGGGTCAGAGTCCACATGGGAACTGCAGGGGACACAAGCAGGGTCTCTAAGGCCCTGCACCGCTCTGAAATCTGAATGTTCTCCTAGGAAGCAGCTCCTTGTAAGCTTGCCTTCCCAGATAGCAGGAGGCAGGGAGCCACAGGGAAACCCCAGCCACAGAGGGCCTTCTGTGGCCCCCAGTCCCACCCAAACGCCCTCCCTCCTCCACCCTCGGGCCTCTCCAGGGTCCCCAACTTCCTCTCCTTGCCCGCAGCGGCCTGGATGAAAGAGAGGACCTCGCCTGGGGCGGCTCACTACTGCGGTGAGCGGGGGCAGGACGGCCCGGCTCGGGGTCTGGGGCGGAGGGAGGCTGCCCCTGGCAGGGCTGGCGCTGGCTCTCCCTCACCACCCACTCCCTGCCCACACAGCCTCCACCAGCGAGGAGAGCTGGACGGACAGCGAGGTGGACTCCTCCTGCTCCGGGCAGCCCATCCACCTGTGGCAGTTCCTCAAGGAGCTGCTGCTCAAACCTCACAGCTACGGTCGCTGCATCCGGTGGCTCAACAAGGACAAGGGTGAGCGGGTGCCCGGGGCTGCCGGCAGGGACTGGGGGTCCTGTCAGGGCCGAGGCGTGGGGTGGGGGGCTGAGAGCTGGGCAGGGGGTGGAGCCGTCTTCCACCTTTGCCCAGATGCCAACAGGCTGCCAGTTCTGGGCGGCCCCGGAGTCTGTGTGCACTCTGTCTACGGCTGTCTCCTGCACAGACTGTGCCTAGTTCATTTTTAAATGTTTTATTATTGGGCTTTTGTGCTTGCCAATGAGAGACAGAAAGTGAGAACTCACCCCCGGGGGAATGGCCACGCCACAATCCCTTCTCCTCCATTCTCCTCTCGGGGTCTTGGGCACGCACGCACATGCACCTGGTGTGTTTTTCAGGTCTCTGGGACCAGGACTCGAACCATGTAATCAGCCCCGTGGGATCCAGCTGCCTTAACCACTATGCCACCTCGCTGGTCCCAAACTGAGTCTTATTTAGGACCCCAACCACCACAGTGACTGGAACAGAGCAGGGACTTAAAACTATTTGCTGAGGGCCAGCCCCGTGACCTGGTAGTTAAGGAGTTGGATCCCACATGGCTGACCATGTAGTTCAAATCCTGCCCCCCCTCCCCCGCAGTGGCTTGAAAAACACATGTGTGAGTGTGTGCCCAAAATCTTGACAGGGTGGAGAAAGGGAGGACAAGGGACTGTGGCATGATCGTGTCCCATGGGGGGGGGGTGCTTTCTCCCTCTCCCTCCTCCGTCTCTCTGTCTCCCTCTGGTGAATACAGACACACTCTGACAAAAATAAAACAACAACAAAAAACACACAAAAAAACGATTTGCTGAGAACGGGCCCCACAAAACATCATGGCGTCACTGGGAAGACGAGTGATGTCCAGTGGGGACACGGTGCGAGCCGCATGTGTTTCTAGAGGGCACACTGAAAACAGCTGGGGAGAGCTGACTCTAATTCTAATAGCGCCTTCGTCCAATGCGCAGGGTCTTCAGAAAGTCCGCTGGCGCTGCGGATTATGAAAAAAGTACGCCGGCCTTCCAATTTTTTTTGCACCCAAATAAACTTACCTCGATTTCTTTGTCCATGAACTTCTGAGGTCCCCTTATATTATACATTATTACAATTCCCGCACACTATCGATGTGCAAACAGACCAACGAGATATTTTCCTCAGTCGTAGAAATCTGCTGAAGGTTTACACTGCCAGCACCTCTCAGTTCGGATCATGGCACGTTTTTGGTGCTCAGAAGACGAGTGTGGTGGGTGCGATTGGACAGTGCAGGGCTAGGGGTGTGTGTGTGTGTTGAAAACAGCTCAGAGCCAAGAGACCTGGGTTCTAGGCCATCCTATTGGTAGCTGTGGGTGCCTGGTCTTCTTACCTATATAAAACAGACAGACTAGGGACCAGCAGTTAGTGTAATAGCTATGTCGCTGGACTCCCATGTAGTCGACCATGGTTCAAATCCCGGACCTGGCGGCTTAAACTCATGCCAGACGCGTGTGCGTGCGTGCCCAAGATCCCAAGAGGAGAATGGAGGAGAAGGGATTGTGGAGTGGCCATCCCCCCTGGGGGGTGATTTCTCGCTGTCTGTCTCTCTGTCTCTCTCTCTGTCTTTCACGCTCTACAGCAAAAACCTTTCCCCAAAAAAAGAGAAAAGAAAAAAAAAAAAAAAAAAAAAAAAGACAGAATAGCCCCGCGGGCCCCACAAACCTTAGACCTTCCTCCAGCACCTACTCTGGTTCACACTCACTTCGTGGATGGTTACAGAGATTACTGTGTCCTGAGGGCTCGGAGGGGGCTCAGCTGCACCCTGTCCTCCAGGGACAGGAGTCTTAGGGGAGAAATGGGAGACAATGAGCTGGTTTGTGCAGCATCTGGGGCTAAGGGACAGAAAGGAAGGGATTGACTGTGTCTGAGTCCAGGAGGACTTCGTGGAGGAGGGGGCTCTGGAGTTGAGTGTGGAGGACCAGGAGGACTTAGTCGGGGGTGGTGAAGATGTTCCTAGACAAGGCACTGTGGCCCTGAGTGTGCGCTTGAGATGGAGCGAGCCAGTCCTGGGGGCCATTCCCCAATGGAGTTCTAGAAAGGGGAGATCCAGTTGGACTGGGTGGTCTGGGAGGGCTCCCTGGGGGTGGTGTGCCACCTGAGCCTTGGCAGGAGGGTTTAGAATGAGAACGAGGCACGTCCCCCGGCTCCTAAGTGCTTCTCTGTACAAGTCAACCCCCGATGGTGGTCAGACAACCCTCCCTGGAGCTCGGGCAGATCCTAGAGGCAGAGCAAGGCAGTGCCAGGACGGCGGCCCACTTGGCAGAGCTCCTGACCCACCCCTGACCCACCCCTGCCACCGCCTTGGATCCATCAATCCTGCCAGGGAGGGCTGCGTGGGCGGAAATGGCTGAGAAGGACCCAGAGGTCTTTTCAGGCTTGGGAACTGCAAGGGCGCGGGGGACAGGAGAGGGGCAGAGGAGGGGTGTGCGAGCTTGCCAGTGACCCTGTGGGCTCCGCCGGAGCCGCAGGCCTTCCCAGCAGGGTGTACAAACCCCGCAGCAGCAGAGGCTGGGAGGGCCAGGCCCGCGGGGCCATGAAGAACCCGCTGACAATTCGGCTCACCCTGTGCCAGCGGCTGGCGGCGCCACAGCGCCCTCTGCCGTCCACAGGGCTCAGCCTGTGCCCGCGCTCTGCACCCGCTAGCCCTCAGCACAACCGCGGGAGCAGGGGGCGCCCCGGCGCGGCGCGGGGTCCCCTGGCTCTCCTTGAGACTGATCTGTGGGTCTCGCTCTCTCTCCTTCCTGCCACCTCCCACCTGCACCACTGGCTCTCCCTGGGCCCTCCTGCCCGCCCCCCACCCCCCAGGCATCTTCAAAATTGAGGACTCGGCCCAGGTGGCCCGGCTGTGGGGCATCCGCAAGAACCGGCCGGCCATGAACTACGACAAGCTGAGCCGCTCCATCCGCCAGTATTACAAGAAGGGCATCATCCGCAAGCCCGACATCTCGCAGCGCCTGGTCTACCAGTTCGTGCACCCCGTCTGAGGGCCAGCCAGGCCCCGAGAGTGCCCTCCCGGCCTCGCCCTGGGCAGCGGGCAGAAAGGGCCATCTGGTGGTGATCTGGGGTCCCAGGTCAGGCAGGGGCTGGCCCGCGGCTCCCGGGGGGCCGGGGGGCGGGTTACTTCCACCTCGGACCCCACCGCTCAACACCCAGTGTACTGGGGCCCGGCGCAGCCAGGACGAGCTGGGGCTGCTCTTAGTGACTGCTGCTCGCCTGAGAAGGGCCTCCCTCCGCCATTCTGACCCCGATCTCCAGACCAGAGCTGCAGAACGGCCGTGACTCGGCTGAGGCCACCGCAAGCCTGCGCTCTGCTACACCCCCTGCCACCCATTCTGCCACGTGCCTGGCATGGTGCTGGGAGACGCGTGCACCCCTGGGTTGGGGAGCCAGGGGGCCCTTGGGAATGGGTAATAAAGATGCTAGAGAACTGACATGCCCCAGTGTCTGCGCAGCGAGCCACACGGCCTGGAGGTCACCAATAGTCAAAAGAGGCTGCAGTCACAGGGGCCTGCAGTGGTCAAGGAAGGCTTCCTGGAGGAGCTGACATCGAGCTGAGCCTAAAAGGAAAGGGATAATTGGTTGAAGCTTGTGGGAGGGCAAACCGAGGGCTGAAGGGGGAGGGGACAGGGCTGCACGCTGAGACGCTGCACTGGGGGACTGCGGAGAGGAGGGTCCCCTCCACTCACTCCTGCCACCTGCAGAGCGAGGCCTGGTGCCTGGGGTGTGCCAGAGGTCGACCCACCCACAAGGAGGCCCCGAGCTCTAGTCCCTGCTGAGCCCACGTCGGGGTGGCAGAGGGTGGGTGCCTTGGTCCCCCTCACGGAGTGGGAGAGAGCATGGCTGGTTTGCCGGTTCTCCCCCGGAAACCTCGGCAGCGTGCCCGCGGGCCCCATGAACGGTGCTTGCCCTGCGGAGATGGTGTGTCCGCTCGACCCCTGCCTGCAGTCCTGGCAGCAGCTCACCCCGCTTCCTCTCCTTTCCCTCCCGTGTCCTGAGGGCCTACTACGTGCTGGGGCCTTCTGCTTTTTTGGTCATTGACCTTCCCAACAAAACCAAGGTAAGGGTCCTCCCCCATTTTGCAGGTGACAAAATCGAGGCTCTGAGTGGTCAGGTGACACACTCACAGTCACAAGGCTGATGACTGGCAGAACCAGGGACTGAGCCCACACCCATGTCTCCCGTTCATTCCTCCTGCACTGTGA